GCAAACAAAAATAACATTTCAGTTTTTTATCTGAGCCTGATATGAGTGTAAATTTTGTGAACGTTTTTTTTTTTTTTAATCTTAATTATATATTCATATTTTTTGTCATATGCTAGGAATGTCACAATATGCTATTGAACAGCCACCCTCATCCTGCCTGGCGGGTTGAATTAAAGTGCAGCCGTGTTTTAGTGCGCTTCAAGTACTCCATTCCCCCCCCCCCCCCTAATTGTCTAATTGTGCTCATTGAGCCGTGTGGACCGGTTGAACAGCCTGCCTGGCTGGGGTCGGCGGGTTTGCCGTGTGCTTTTAATCTATATTTCATGCTATGGCGCTGCGCGCAGACAGACGTACATCCTCAATGAGAAAATTCACTGAGACGCACGAAGAATGTCGACCTGACAAAATGAACTGAGGAGACCACTCACGCATCAGGTGAAGTCAAATGTGTTAAATGATGAACCCTATAAACCGTATTCAATGTTTAATTCGCCTTTGAATGAAGGCTTAATAAAAAATGACAGGGAAAGCACTCGGTGCAAAAGTGCCACATACAGTCCTACATTTAAAACTGAAGTCAACTATAAATAGGAATAGATAAATAGAACTACTACTTTATGGAATGACAGCAATAAGTCCGCGATTAGAAGAGGAAAAAAAAAGAACATCGTGCTACTTACGATTCATTTCAATAACTTCTGGGCGTTATTGTCTCGGATCCGCGCCTCTTCGGTCGTTTGGGCGCGGAAAAAAGTCTGTCCCTGCGGCGAAGCGGACTCGTTGCCATCGACAGGATGATCAGCTTCATCTGATGGCGATAAAGTTTGCATGAGAGAACACCTGGTTAATTCTGCCGAGGACAGTGGACGTCCGATTCAGCCGGTGTCAAGTCTTCAGTGATGCCCGCACTCGCCGGGATTGAGATCTGAGAGGAGAGGGGAGCGCACAGAAAGGCGTCATGTGAGCAAGGGAGAGGTGCGCTATTGGCCAGTCGTATAATAAGGCTGCTCTGTGCGCCATTGGCCTAGAAAGGGAGCGCAGGCGCCTCGTACCTTGGCTGTGCGCAAGAATATGAGTGCGGCTCACTGTTCATAATTTTTAGCAGCCAGAGCAGGGGGGCAGTAAGTAACAAATTGTCCGAAAGATCTGTTTTTTTGTCATCTACGAGTTACACAGAGGGCAGCATAGGGAAAAGCAAGCATGCTGTCTCTTCTATAAAAGAGAGGAATTAATGAAAATGACTGGTGAGTCTATCAACTTTTGAGTGCCTGTCAACTTGAAGATGTGGGCACTTCACTCTGAAAGAGGCATCATTTGATCTTGACGTTTTCAGCATTATGATGAAGAGTACAAAAATGACAACAGCAAAAATGAAAGCAACAGGTAAAATGACAGCAAGGGAACAGTATCTGCATCCATTAAGGTGGCAGTTTGATACATTGACCAGATGATAAGAATCATCCCTAATGCAATTCCTATTTAAGACTTTTTTCAGTGGTTTGATATTGCGCTGATAACACGTTCAGTATTTTACTATCTAATATTGTTCTGTTACCCAACGCACATGCATATATTTATCTGATTTGAATGTGATGTAACAGACATACGACTGCGATGGCATACATGATTACAAGAATAGAGCTAAATCATGTAATGTTTGTGTTATATAGTTTGATTTCTGGCATTGTCCTCCTAGATAATTTGCTGTGTAATGACCCAATACAGGTGGATCGGGAATTACATTAAAATGACACTTAATAAAGCAATCATCATGGCTCAAATGAAAGGAATAATGTAATTGTCACCAGCTGATGAAATACAAAAAAAGAGAAGGAAATCCATGACACAAAAATGACGCTAACACGTTCACCTTCTATTTCTGAAATGCTGTTACTTCATGTTGTTCTGGTGCTTTATTGGTACTAAGACCTAACTCAACCTTCACAATCAATTTTTGACACGCGTTAAAGCTAATTAATTGTTTAGGAGATGGGAAGCTGGATGAAAGGAAGGGATACAACCTATACGTATTGTGGTGGGAGGTCAATTTGTATGAATAGAAACAAAGGGAGCATGATATGTTTTATATATTCATGCTATCCATATTTATATTTCCATTTAAATTTTCTACCCGGGACCTCACAGAGGGCAACAACACATAAAAGAACTTCCTCTCTCTGTACCGCTCTGGTTCTCTAGAGTGTGGAGGCAGAGGAACTCAAGGTTCTGTATGGGTGGGAAATAGAGCGCACGTAATCTGGAGCGCGCATCTTCCCCTGCTCAGGCTGCGACATTAAATCAATATTCCGCAAAGCTTTCTCTTGTTTTCTACATTCACTTGACTGCTGCCGTGATGCGCCGCGAGGGTCGAGCAGCCGCTCCCTGATTTTTGTGGCACTTGCCCCCCTCCCTCTTTCTCCTCCTCCTCCTTCACTTCACTTCACGGAAGACACCCTCATTTGGATGGCTCCAAGGCGATGCGCCCATTCCATTTGTCTCATGCGTTAACGGGAGGCGGCAGGAATAAGGCACCGCGTTATCTCGACACAAAACATTATCTCCGCCTTGCTCCTCCAACACCGTGAAACAATGATTATTAACTGCTTGAGGAGCATGTTCAGGGGTTTTCGAGGCTTGTCGCCACACTTAAGGAACATGAAATATATTTCACAACACACCCCCTGAACTAGATTTTTGAATTTTCAAGTCAAGATTATGCTTCCCCTATTCTTGCCATTTGTGAGTACTTTCAGTATTGCCTGTCGCCCCCGGGGAGTTTGGCTAACGGCATTATGACTGGACGTGTGACTGTAGCATTTTTACCAGAAACCAGCCTAGCACTTCCTTTTCAAGATGTAAAAGCCTGTCGTGCTGCATCATCCTGTAAGATACTGGTTGTGCATTCGCGTTCACTCACACCCCATCATTATGAAAGCAAAATCCTGCCTCTGCAAAATGGGTCACACACTGCAGTCACTTTATCTCAGCAAATGTATTGTGCCTGTGTGAGTTGAAGACATGCGCATATGTGATTCAACATCAAAGGCAAGACTCCAATATTAGGGCATGGGTGTCTTCGCTGAAACAAGACTCAAGCAAGTCGAACGTTCTATGTTTTCGAGGGTGGCGAGCCTGTATGAATAGTTAGCCCCAAGAGCCCAAATGTGAGTCTTTCTTTAATGTCTTTTAACAGCCAAGAGGTTGATGCTCTCGCTCTAAAATGAACTCCAGTAGCGCCATTTTTATTTTTTCGACTGCAGTGCCCTGTATGCCTCATACGTCAGTGATTTCAGCAAACAGTTGAACGCATAGGATTTGCTCCGAACCCAGAAAATCCATTCACCCTTGGTTAGTGTACGAATATACACAGACAAGCTAATAGGTAGACACAGACAAACACACTAGCATCTATCTACTGTGGAGTGAATTTGAGCAGTGGGGTTCAAAGCCGTGCCAATCAAAAAAGGGAAGACAGCTCTGTGCCGCTGTCTTATAGACCCATCACTGTGCAAGCTAATCTGCGGCGCGTTCCAGCCTATATTTAGACCAATGTTTTGTGGGCACTTAGCATAATTCGCTGAGACGAAAGGAGCTTTTCGAAGCTGTTAACCTCATCTCTTTTAAAATTCATTTGGTGTTTTTCAGCTGCGTATTCCAAAAACACCTGTTCTTGCCTTTGCAGACTTGTGAAATACTCTCCATTTCAATGGGGAAATAGTTTGTTATGAATGGAAATGATGGTGCAGTGTGACTGTGAGAGCATGCTGTGGATGCTAGGTGGTTGATTCTCTCAGCTACTCACGAGAGAATTGGCTTTATCTGAAATCAGGTCGAAAAATGTTGTGAAATTAGTTTCAAAAAGAGCCCTCACTGCATCATACAGCATTACCCAATTTATCGCTGTAGTCATTGTCGCCGATACACTTATCTCCATTGTCGCACAATTTATCACCAAATTTCACTAATCATGTGAATTTAAAGGAAGATAATATTCCTGGAATAACACTACACCTGGTCATACTTCACTCCCATGTATTATTACCCCGGGAGTACAGCCGGTTTAAGTCCATGTGTCAATGCGCGTGTGTGTGTGAGTACCAAATGCTCTGATCTGGTCTCTCAGCCAGAGAGAGATGGTCATACTGAAAGCCTTTACCTCCATCTGCTGTGTGGCCTGCACAAACACCCACATTTACACACAAACACACAGGCAAGATGGACTGTCTGGTTCAAAAGCTTGTCCCTTAAGCATTAAACGCTATACGCTTTGGCCACAGTAACATGCCGCACTGGGGGCCTGCACGGCATCTGCCTCCCAGCTCCTGGAGCCAAGGCATGGGGCCGAGGGAGGGGCCCAGGGCCGAGATAAGCTCTTCCTCCCCTGGTCACCGCCACGCCGTGGGGACCGGACAGGCCTGGAGCCTCAGCTGAGCACCGCTGATAATATCCACATGAGTGTACGTGTGTGTGTGTGTGTGTGTGTGTGTGTGTGTGTGTGTGTGTGGTTGGATGGATGGGTGTGTATTGAGAGGACGAGGCTTGGTTTAGGGGATGTGAGTGTGTGTATGTGGGTGGAATGGGAGCATGCAGGGATGCACACACTTGCATGTTTGCCCGGATAGTCAAATATCACAGCTAAGACAAAAATGTCTGTCCCTGAAGTATTTAAAGTTTTGCACTTTTGATGCCAAATGTTCACAGAAGTGTGTACAGATATGTTTGCTCATGCGAAATGCCTTTGCTCTCAGACTCGCAAATGGTACAAGCCGGAGAACAAAAGTTACACGGGCACAAATAAATTGCAATTCTGCGAAAAATGTCCTTGTGCAGAACTAATTGAATCTTGAACTGAATTCTGACATCTTGATTTTTTGGGAAATTATTTTCCCTGTTAAGTAACTGTTTAAAACATAGTTTCAATTGAGTGACAATATGCTAATGAACTTATCTTCCTTATTTCAAGGTTGCAATACTCACAAAAACCTGCACAGGAAACAAATTAAATTATCCAATTTGCAGATTGTCGTACTTCTTTTAAAGAAATACAATTCGAAGACAACAAAGTATAAAAGCCCTGTTAGGCAGGGAAAGACAAGAATGTAATAAGTACAGTGCATTACACTCACTACATTTGACAATGACATGTAACAAGGCTGCTTTCACAATGGAGCTCATTCTATTTTTTCATTCTTTGTATTTTGTTCTGAACCCTCATTTGCGGTGTAAGATGAATTGCTGTGCTGCTAACAGCAACTCAATCTGTTCTTGTTCACTCGCTCTAATTCATTGTTTATTTAACACGAGTGTAATCTAGTCCTTTGTAGAATGACAGAAAATGGTCCTTCTTTGTTCAGCAGCACTGACCTTATCATTTTAACTTGTCATATTGGAATCCTCATTTACTCGCCATGTTAAGAGTCGGATCACGTAGCGATTCAGTGAGGCAAATTAAATTCATTTTCTGGGCTACTTTTAATCGTGTGGATGTTTCAAATAACATTGTATAACAAAAAAGGTCTGGTTGATGATAGAAACACTAATTGGCAAAATTATGCTTTTGAGATAGACGGGATGATTATTTATATTAAAATATAATAATATTATGATATTGCTCTTGATGAGGACCAGGAGGTGGAATTATATGATATTTTACAGTCTCTTTCACCAAATGAGCAGTATTTCTTAAATGCCTTGTGTTATAGCCCCATGGAATCATTAATCAGTAGATCTAATAATTCAATATTAATAATTTAATAAAAACAATGCTGGGGGGGGGTCAGCCACACCAACATTGCTCAGGTTTAGTGGGAAAGTTTGGGATTCTTTTCCATCACAAAACAGGAAGAGGCCACTTTTATTTCGTTGCAAAAAAGAGCTGAGGCTTTGAGTTTTGGAGCAAGTGAAAAAGGCCTTTGCAGCACATTATTTCTC